TCAGTTTTACAGTCTATTAAAGGAAGGAGTCAGGATGCCTTTTGTCACCTTTCTTTTGCTCACAGATCAGTGGCATTAACTGTGCCCTTGTCCTTTCCAGGCACATGGGTATGTGTGGCTGCCTAGTAAAGAAATAATAATAATAATAAAAAAATGTATATAAGTGCACTTTGCACCAGGTAAAGTGACTCTGCTTGCTTTGCATTTTTGATGTCCAGGGCTGGAGTGTTGTATGTTTCCCACTCTGCCTTGGAGTAGTGTTCTGTCTGCACCTAATCAAGGGGGAAGGAGTACAGTTTGGAGTAGGAGCTGCGCTTGGGAAGTCAGAATTAGGGGGCGGCGGTGGGGGTGGCAAACTATAATGACCACAGGACATAGCACAGGATAGAAATTCCTATCTATGCACACACTCTCAGCACCTCACAGACACTCATCTCTGCTTCTAGGGTAGCATTGCTTTCCTGCCCTTCATCCTTTTCTCTCCCCTCCCTTTCCTCACTCCCCCTTTCTTTCTCTTTCTCTCCCAGTCCCATAGGTAATTCCAAAAACATCCATTTAAATTCCCTAAAACCTGGTTGAGTTTCATTCTTGGATTTCAACAGACTGAAAACTAACATATTTCAATTTCAGAAACCTGTTGGGCCATTGTTTTTCCATCAATACCAGACTCCCTCTTAAAAGTACTTGCTAGAAATAGTCTCTAATTCCTCTCCAGTGATCTTTTCATAAAGGCCACTCTTCCTTAGGGCCACTTAGCTGTTCTGTGAACCCCAAGGCAAGTCCCTTCAGAATGGTGGGTTTGAGAGAGTAAGTGTGCATTTGAAAAAATAAGAAAGGAGTGTAGGTCTGTGGGAACATAAAGAGGGAAAATCTGATAATGACAACTTTAAAAAATTGAAGTAGAAATGGGTATCCTAAAGACAAATTTGCATTTGGGGGGAGTCCTCAGGCATTCATTTCTGTTGGCTTATCACATCTACAGAAACTTATTCCTGTATATAACTGAATAACTGTGAAGTTTATTAAACAGAAACCTCATGTTGATTAGAGTTAGGAGGGACAGTAGGGGTTAATGGTTGCTTGTGGGTTCCCAGGAGTTGGCATTCTGCTATTGGTGGGCCCTATAGGGGAATGTGGGCAATACAGGCCATAAAACCTATTACAGTAAAAATAAATCAACTTTGTCTTTAATGCCTGTTTATATGGACTATAACTAATTTCTCCCCAATTTTTTATTATGAAAATTCTCAAACGCACAGAAAAGTTGAAAGTATAGAAAAAAGAATACCCACACACCCATCTGTTTTCAACAATTGTTAAAATTTTGTTATTTTGTTATATTTGCTTTATCTGTGCCCAATTTACTAACCAATTCTGAATATTAGATGGTTAGTTTTAAATTTTTTGCTAATATAAATTATTTGCCAGCATGAAGCATTGTCAGTCTTTTTAATCTCTGCCATTTTGATCTATATCTTATTTGCTGTTATTAGACTAAAGCAGTAGAATCTATTTTCAAGTTAGTTTTCGCCTCTTCATATAATTTTTTCAGGCTTTTCCCCTCTCGTGTTTGTTACATTTATTTTTTACTTTTGGGTTTTTATATATACATACTAGAGGCCTGGTGCATGAAATTCATGCACAGGGGTGGGGGTGGGGTGTCCCTCATCCCAGCCTGCACCCCTTGCAATCCAGGACCCCTCGAGGATGTCTGACTGCCGGTTTAGGGATCGAGCCTAAACAGGCAGTTGGACATCCCTCTTGCAATCCAGGACTGCTGGCTCCTAACTGCTCACCTGCCTGCCTGCCTGATCGCCCCTAACCACACTGCCTGCCTGCCTGATCGCCCCTAGCCCCTCTGCCTGCCAGCCTGATCGTCCCTAACCACTCTCCTGCCTGCCTGATCGCCCCTAACCACTCGCCTGCCTGCCTGATCACCCCTAACTGCTCGCCTGCCTGCCTGATCACCCCTAACTGCTCGCCTGCATCTTCGTGTCTTGGAGTATTGTAAAAAATATCTTTGATGGAAAGGTTGGAAACTAGTGTTTTAATGTAAATATCCCCCTCCTCCCACTGCATTTATAGATGACTATAGGTCTCTTGGAGATGTGACTTCTGTATGATTTTAGCATAGTAGAATAGCTGGGGGTGGAACTAGGCTTCCTGATATAAATTAACTATTGATTGAATTATAAGTGATTGAATTATAATACTAGATAATTGTTTAAGTGACCACTGCCCTTTAGAAATATGTGAGCCACATATGCAAGCCACATACATAATTAAATTTTCTCTTGTTATCTTAAAAAAGTAAGAAGAAAAGGTGAAATTAATTTTAATAATATATTTAATTAGCATAATATTTCCAAAGTATTATTTCAACATCTAATTTATATAAAATAATGTTACTGAAATAGTTTACTTTTTTGTTTGGTATTGTCTTCAAAATCTAGTGTGTATTTTATACTTACAGTGCATATCACTTCAGACTGGTGTTGACTTTAAACAGATAGCTAAATATTTCTCCAGCAAAATGGTTTTATTCAGGAATAACAAAGACTTGCACTTTGGGACATGTGGTCTTCTGGCAAACTTCAGGCAAATCCTGAGAACAAAGGAGAAGAACCCTGTTTTATAGAGGAAGAGAAGTTTGGAGAGCTGTGATAAAGAGTTCTTCCTGTTGGATTCCACCATCTCGGAGCAAGAGAGCACCCCATCTGGCCGCCTGACTTCATTTTATTTATTTATTAATTTATTAATTTATTATTTATTTATTTATTTATTAATTATTATTATTATGGTTAATCCTCACCCGAGGATATTTTTCCATTGATTTTCAGGGAGAGTGTGGAAGAGGGGAGGAAGAGAGAGAAACATTGATGTGAGAGAAAAACATTGATTGATTGCCTCCTGCATGAGCCCTGACCAGGGCCCGGGCTGGGGAGGAGGCTGCAACCAAGGTACATGCCCTTGACCAGAATTGAACCTGGGACCCTTAGGCCAACATGCTATCCACTGAGCAAAACCGGCTAGGGCCTGACTTCATTTTAAATGGGGTTTCTGTCTATGAATTATTTTATTAGCCACTTTCCAAGTGCTTAATAGCCCCATTTTGCTGGTGGCTACTGTTCTGGACATTCGGGTTTAAATAATGATGAAACCTTTGTTAATCAAGAAAGCAGATTTTGAGAAAGCTGCCTTCTCCTGCTTTTAGTGGCTCCCATTGTAATGCAGACTCATTTGAGAGGTGCTTAGACTTATTTTGAAAAAGCAAGTGAAGTAGTGGGAGGAGGTTTACCTTGAATCTGTTATGTTCTCCTTTATGGAAAGTCTTTTCTGTAAAAGCAGCTATAACACTTTGGGCTTTTATAAAAATACCAATTGAAGCACCTCTCCCTTCTACCATTGTTCAGCCTGCTAGCTCTTCCTGTTCCCCATGCCTGGCATTTGCAGTTCCCTTTTCCTCTACACCAGTTCTCAGTTTCACTGTGTGGTGGACACAGGATGTCAGAGGACCCAATCGATTGAGGGTCTGATGCTAAGGTTGCTTTAGAGCAGCGGTTCTCAACCTGTGGGTTGTGACTCCTTTGGGAGTCGAATGACACTTTCACAGGGGTCGCCTAGGACCATTGGAAACACATATATAATTACATATTGTTTTTGTGATTAATCACTATGCTTTAATTATGTTCAATTTGTAACAATGAAAATACATCCTGCATATCAGGTATTTACATTACAATTCATAACAGTAGCAAAATTACAGTTATGAAGTAGCAACAAAAATAATTTTATGGTTGGGGGTCACCACAACATGAGGAACTGTATTAAAGGGTCGTGGCATTAGGAAGGTTGAGAACCACTGCTTTAGAGGTTAAGTGGAGCTCTCATCCCTGAGGGAGTCAGGGTCAGGTGCCTGATCACCATGTGGGCGAAGGCTTTTACATGTATGGATGACTATTTTTTTAAGGTATGATATTTTCTTAAACAACAAAGTGGCAAAGAACGAATTATTTTTTTAAGAAATATGACCTGTCTTAATTCAGTAAAGTGCAGAAATCATATGCATACAGCTCAATGATTATCACAGAGTAAACACACCACTGTAAACCCCACTGTGAAATAATTCTTCTTTCTAGACTTAGGCTGCAGTAGGGCTTCTTTTACAATTAAATAAGTCCCTGTATGTTTCAAACATTATGAGAAGGGCAATAGAAGGAATGTTTAAGGTCAATGGCTGGTCAGTTGGGATGACCAGCATGAATGTTAATTGGCCTTCTAACTGACCTCCTTGCAGCTCTAGAGTG